GACGCTCTGATAGCGCATCTAACCAACCACCCTTCTGAGACCCTGATTTACTAGATGAGAATCTCAAAAGTAAAACTTGAGCCGGTCAAAGTCACTGGTTGAGGTCAAGGCCTGGAGCACAGCACAAGGCTGGCCAGCAGCAATGCGCAGCTAACAATCACCGGACCTAGCAATTTAGCAATTCGCTCACCCACCAACAAGAGGGGTAAAAAAATAAAAATAAATCTTTTAGATACTTGCCAAAGACAACATGACAAAATACTCTAAGTAGAAGGAATGAGATTTAATGTCAAAGCCATCACAAATAGAAGAGCAAACGCAAAGGTTTGAAGCAAGGTCAGTCAAGGTCTGCCAATTTTTACCTTGGCTGTGCTGCTTTCATAAGCCCGCCTGAGCTTCTCATGCAACGTGGGGGAAAAGGATGCGATTCGCTCATTTTCAGCCAAAAGCTTCAGTGTCCCCTTTTCTAGACGGGAGATAATTCTGCCAAAACACAGACGAAACCCAGACAGAAAGACACAAACAACATATGAACAGACTTAAAAAGAAATGTTTATGCTCATTTTTTATGAGGCTACCAAGCGAAGAGTTCTAAGCTGCAGGCACCCAGCATGAAATCCTACTGGCATCTGTAGGGCTGGCTTCTTATTGCTACCATCTCATGACTTTCCCATTCTTGCATAATTACACTGACGTTCAGTTGATAGATCAGCGCAAGGAAAACTCACAGACATTGAAATCCAGGTCAAGTTGTGGGTTTTGAGGGGAAAATTAACAACCCCATGCTTGTAAGTCGTAAAGATCTAAAGTCCAAGCACACTTGCTTAATCTCACACACGTCTGCAGACACAAGCATAGATTAAAAAACAAATAAATCAACTCACTCATACTGATAATCCAAGACTTGAACTGCAAAATAAACACAATTGTGCACACTTTGAAAATGCTGCCTCCTCGATGCATCTAAGGGAAAAAAAGAAATGTGAGACCACAGCACCCATCACCATTTATAAACTACAAGACCAACCATTAGCTCTCAAGGAAAGCAGGAATTGCCATATCCAAAAATAGCCTTCCAGAGCAGTATCCAATTTCCAAACCTTCCCTCTCCCTGCCACCTGAACAGACAAATTCTCCCATCCCTACCCTTTCTACACTAAAGGTAACAGAAGTGTTTATTGCTGTACAGACAGAAAAGACTCCTTCTCAACACTCTAGCCGGATGTAAGCAAATTCAGGACAAAACTGCAACGAGGCATCAGCTGCTTTTCCCGCAGCAGGAGACTTGGTGCTCCTAACCTCAGCCCTAAGAAGCGGTGAGCAGCAAAACAAAGGTCACTCAAATTGGAGCATCCAGAGGAGGTGTGTCTCATCTTCAAGAGACTGTCCTGGGTTTTGTATCCATTTCAAAGTACTAACTGCATCAAGCTTAAATCTGAATTTGCCAAAACACAAACACAACTATGTGTCTTTAAGGATGGATCCTATGCACTCCTAACCCAAGCTTAAATTTAAGAAATAAATAGCAGATCAGAGCTGCAAGGACCAGGGGTGGAGAAACTTGAGTATCTGTCCTCTCTGCAAGTCATTGTTAGCAAGCAGTTAGAGCAAATCTCACAGGACAGCAGTAAACTAGATTGAAACAGTATCTCACAATCCCACTCTAAAATGTTGCAGAAGCACTTCCCATACATGCACAATTTTTGCCAGCATCTCAGGTGACTCCCACAGTGGTAATAAGGTGCTTTTATGGAATTTGAGACTAATTGTCCAAGCTAAAGACAACTCTCTATATCACATTATTATTCCATGGAAGTAACATTCTCATCCCTCGAGACTATTGGCTTACCTTTACTTCCTTCATTGACTTCAAGGTCACTATCCTCATCTTCTGCAGCAGAAGTGCCTTTAGATGTCAACAGCTGCAGAACAAAAAAGAGCTCCAGAAAAATATTTGGCACCAGGTTTTCTGGAAGAGAGGAAACAAGATACTAAAGGTGGATACTCAGTATTGACCTGCTTTAATAAACAAAGGTAAGAAGATAGATACCCGTTCCACAGCACAGTCAGCAACGGACTGACTCCCTGCCTACACAGCCCCAGCGCAAATCAGTGTGGGAATTACAGGGAGGACGTGTTAGGGAGGGGGCTGGTTTTGGATAGAGCCATGTGACTTCAGCCTGCTGCAACTCAGAGCACTGCGTCAGGTTCACCTCCTCCCCAAAGCTTTTCCGCAGTACCCATTTACTCTAACAACTACGTTGGCTTGACTTATTTTTCCAGATGTTGTTTGCAAACTGTAACCATCCCACAAATTTGCTTCTCGTCCTATCCCTCCTTGCAACATGCACACACAAGTTCAAAGCTCAAAGAAAGGTCAGTCTCACATCTTCTGGGTCCTCACCTGCTATACACAATGAATAGAGCTGCGCCAGGCACTCCAACTGTTTCTTGCAGGAAACCTTAGCAGGATTTGCACAGGTCACCAGGTGGCTTTCAGCAGGGAGGCTAGCACTGCGGGTGTAGCTAGGCTTTGTAGGAGTACCAGGATCAAGAGACATCCCTGCGGGAGAAGACGCCTGGTGCAGCAATTTGCATCTGAAATTCAAGACCAGCAACACCGCATGTGACTGAAGGTGATACACAGCAGCCACGCAGCCAGAAGGTGAAGGATTCCCGCAAAAACTAACCACAGAATTTACACTCCTTAAAATTGCTTTTAGCATGACAGTGACTTCATTCATCTTTGCCTTAATGAGAAAGGATCTTGGGGTTAACAAATAAAAAACTCAAAAGAATCACCTTCAAATTCCAGCTCTGCTAGAACAGCAGGGCACTTTGACCGAATTATCTAACTAACCTATGCTGCTGGCTTCTCGTCTAAACTGGTATTTGTCAAGGACGTTGAATCTGTTAGAGACCAGGTCCTGAAAAAAAATCTTGCATGTAAAATTTAACAGGTAGACACTTCACAAAATCTATAAAAATAAGGTTCACATCTGTATCTTCAGATGTATTTGTAAGTTAATAATACCCCAAGAAGATCCAATGCCACTAAGTGGAAAGGCAATGCAAGAACTGATGAAATCCCATACCAGCAAGTTAGACAGAAAGAAGAAACTACTTTAATTGCTGTATTCTAAATCAACAGCGATCAGTCAAATACATAGATAAACTGAGGAAGTGTGGGCTGGATGTTTGGGTAGTGAGGTGGATTGCAAACTGGCTGAAGGAAAGAAGCCAGAGGGTCGTAGTCAATGGGGCAGAGTCTAGTTGGAGGCCGGTATCTAGTGGAGTGCCTCAAGGGTCAGTACTGGGGCCAATATTATTCAATATATTCATCAACGATTTAGATGAGGGAACTGAGTGTATTATCAGCAAGTTTGCTGATGACACAAAACTGGGAGGAGTGGCTGACACGCCAGAGGGCTGTGCTGCCATCCAGCGAGACCTGGACAGACTGGAGAGTTGGGTAGGGAATAACTTGATGAAATACAACAAGGGAAAGTGTAGGGTCCCACATCTGGGCAGGAACCACCCCAGGTTCCAGTACAGGTTGGGGAACAACCTGTTAGAGAGCAGTG